AAGAAGCTACTGGCAGCTTCCCAACCCATGTCAAGAGTATGGAAGCTTTCCATTCACAGGTGTGGAGGTTCCTGGCCGTTGACCTGAAAAAACTTAAGTTACAATCCACCCCCTGGATATTTAATTCCTGTACAAGTTTAAACAGAGCTTCCTTGTGCAACAACAGAAAATAGAACTCAGAGGGCTGGAAACTTGCCCGTGATGGTATGACAAGCCTTTGTCTCCCACTTTGCCTACTTCATGGGCTGCTCCAGCTATTCCCCAAACTGTTGACTTCATCATCATTATGTGGGATTCTAAGTAGGTTCAACCTTGATTACTTGGTAACTGGGTTTGTGGTGAAAGCTACTAACATGGAAAGACTGTGTTAACCACCTCTCTTCTTCAAGATAAGACTTAATTGTTCTTCTCCTCTGGACAGATAATGACCTCTTCCTGAGTATACCCCAATGATGCAGAGTGAAAGAATATAACTGGTGTTCCTTCCTTTGCCAAGAAGAGGACTCGCATATAATAGGTACAGAAGTTATCTGGACCTAATGGTGAACAACAACCCTAGAGGTTAGGAGTCACTGCATTGGTCTGCCAAGAGAGTAGTCTAAATAAACCCAGATGCTCATTTAGGAGCATATATCATAAATAACCAGAAAAAAAATTGGATGCTGCTAAAAAATGGACTTCTATCTAATTTTTATACTTTTATGAATTTAGAAATACAAGGATTTATAAACAATAGTATTTTTCCAACTGACACATCACAATGCAAATTGTTTTAATGCTTCCAAATGCTGAGTCTGATCTCATGGACCTCATAGTAACAAGGAGAAATCATGCTACTTGACATAATGAAAGGTAATAATAATTAGACAACCAGATGTAAGCATTACATGTCATGTCTTAAGCATAGGAGCCTCCAAACTTTCTTAGTAAAACAGCTTATACTCCTTTGAGTTAATAATATCCAATTTATTCTATTAACCACCACACTGTGACAATTATGATTATGGTAAGAAACAATATGATTCTTGAGTAAGTCAGTGAAGATGAAATATGCACCATCTTTGATAAAGTAGTGCTATATATACATTCAGGTAATATGTATCTTATATAGGTCATAGTGAAGAAAAAAAAAAAAGGAAGCTGAATATATCCACCAAATTACATTAGAATGAATATTGGCACCTATGTCTGTGGCTGAAACTTTCTTTTTAAGCAGACTCCACACCCACGTGGAGCCCAATGAGGGCCCCAAACTCACAACCCTGAGATCAAGACCTGAGCTGAGATCAAGAGTTGGACGCTTAACCAACTGAGATACCTAGGCACCCCTGAGGCTGAAACTTTTTAAAAAGATTGGAAAGAAAAATTACTCAAATAAGCTGAATACTACAGCTACTACTAATTTACCAATATGAAGCAGTCATGCTGATTATTGATGAAGTTTTGTTCAAACAGGATTGCTAAAGAATGTGGACAAGTAATACATATATGTACATATATTAATACATAAAAGATAATGGAAAAATATAACCTCAGGAAGGAAAAATTTTGGAACTAATAAATTCAGGCTAAGGGAATATTCATGTTTGTATATAATAAGCCCCCAAAGAACCCAAGAGAAAAAGCACACAATCTCCTAAGGAAAAAAATGTTAACTGCTTAAATAACATTTCTGAAACAACTGCCACTGATAGAGCCAACAGGCTAAGAAGTGAGAGTGATTGATATTTGAACACAGGAGACATGCAAAACTATGAAGTTCTGTCAAAGTCTTTAAAAAAAAATATTGAATCTTTGCTAGGAAATTCAAGAGAAATAATGAGCAAAACATTATGATTGCAAAAAGTCTCGGATGCACTAGTGTTGCTGGGGAAAATTGTGGCAATCATCTAATTAATAAGATGTTCAAAGTGAAGAGGAAGTAGATGTAGACTGTTGTGCTAATTAAAAGTGAAAGCACCAAGCCAAGTTTGTGGGTGGACCCCTCTTGGTTCTGGCAATACCAATGGGAAAGAAAGTTACATAAGAAAATGGTGGCTGGCAGGGAAACTTTCCCTCAGATGTCAATGAATGTAACCCTAAAAAAATAGGTGGAAGGTTTTATGTCATCTCACTAATATTTTTACGTTTGAAAATTATGGACACTTTGGGGTGCCTGGGTGGCTCAGTCGTTAAGCGTCTGCCTTCGGCTCAGGTCATGATCCCAGGGTCCTGGGATCAAGCCCCGCATTGGGCTCCCTGCTCGGCGGGAAGCCTGCTTCTCCCTCTCCCACTCCCCCTGCTTGTGTTCACTCTCTCGCTGTGTCTCTCTCTGTCAAATAAATAAATAAAACCTTAAAAAAAAAAAAGAAAATTATGGACACTTTGAATAGAAAATGGCTTTACAAGATTAAAGTCTCACTAAATGAAGTGTTTGGAATCCATCTTCCTTCTTGGTTCTTTTCCTTCATGGGATGTAACTCTGGGTTTTAACCTCTAATTTGAAATTTACTGATTGAGTTATCTTGGGTTAGTACAATCTTTACAAATTTTTCTTGCTTAACTTTATAAATGGAGAATGTTATCTCACAGAGATGCTCTGAGGATTAAATGGGATAATGTGAGGAAAATATCTCATATTTAGTACGTGATCAGTGATTAATAATAGTTACCTTTAATGACTGCTTCCGACTTGCTTTATCTTCATAGGTATCAGAACACCTAAGGTAGGATGTTTTGTTATTGTTACTGTTTTGTTTGTTTTATATTTTGCACCAGAGGAAAAAAAATCAGGGTCAGGAAAATTAAGTAAGATCCAAAATCACACAGGTAGTCAGTGAAAGATGATGTCTGAATAAAAAAAAATCTGTGTGTTTTTACTATTATGCTATATTGCACTCTTCACATAAAGCAAAAACAAAACCAAACATTTTTACAGAATATAGCATAATCTACTGACAATAACAAGGCCAGCATGTGAGTATGTGCCAGGAGTCTGTTATAGGGAGGAAGTGGCCCAAACTCCTTACTTCCCCATTACCATCCTGCAACAATGAACTTTGGCTGACCTGTAAGGCTTTGTTCTCTTAAGGCTTACTTTTGCATGCAAATGTCAGCACCAGAGAACCCTGAGGGAAACTGAAAAAAGATTAGAGGTTCTACCAGGATTTCCTGAAATCCTTGAACCAACCATCATTTTGTTTAAAGGAATTAAGTTTTCTTTCTGCTATTCAAGGAAATTATTTTTGGTCTTAATGTTTCAAATGTCCCTGCTACAAGCTGTGATATAAAGAAGAAAAATTCTGACTGACACTTTTGATTTCCACCGTGTTTGCCAGAATTTCAACTTGTTGAGTAAAAGATACATTGATTTTGGCAGTCACACTCACATCTCCAAAAATGACCTCATGCTCTCAGATTTACTGGCATAAAAATTCCCTAGGGTATATTTTTTCTTCCCTAAATGCAGTCCCCTCTGCAGAACTTCTCTGTAAAGAGTTAATTCTGCATGCATATCTCCAAAAAAGGCCTTGTGCTGTCATATTTACTGGCATAAATATTCCTTGGTGTTTATTTTTTTTCCTCCCTTCAGTGCTACACACACTTAACCACACCCCACAGCATTTCCCTGTAATGATTTAATTCCCCCATGGATGAACTTTTTACAATTGAATCTCAAACACATTCCCAGAAGTTAGTTGTAAGCTCTGTTTCTTTAACCCTCTGCTGAACCTAACCAGGAGAGGGAGCTCCCATTTCTCAGTCTCCTGCCTTACTTTCAGCCCTGTTTCAAACCCTAAATAAAAGTTCTGAGAATTCTTCCTTCTCTATAAATGGGAAAGAGAAAGAGGTACATTCTGGCTGTAGATATTGTAAGCTAAACAGTGATGGGAAATAGAAAAATATCTAGATCATTGCTAAGAAAATGAATTATGCTGCTGCCAGTGAAGGACTGGTAGGAAATCTAGGATCCTTTCAGAGAAAAATGGAAAAAATGTGAAATTTGAGCTTCAGGGAGTGATGCTTGTGCAGAGAGTTCTTAACTATTTAAGGATACTACTCAACTCTATGATTCTTCTCAAGCACTCCAAACTTTGGAAATAGAGGATTCTGAAGTTTTCTGAACACAGAACTGTGCCTTTTGGGGGACAAAATTAAAAGAGGAGCAAAAAGTATTCTAAAGACAAATGTGACAAGCAATAGGTAAGGATATTGGGAACAGCACTGGACCACAGTGGCATACAGGGATGATTCAAGCTTCTGCAGAGGAGGGAGTGAGAGTCAGGAAGATCCAACCACACCTACTCCTAAACTCTCAAGTTTCCAAAGACCTGGAATCAACTTTGTGCAGCCATGATATGTTTGGATTTTTACCATTTTCTTTATTAAAATAGTCTGGAGGCATGTATTTATGTGTGGAAAGATAAGGCAGAGAAAAGAGCAAGGAGGAAAAATTGCCACAAGGCAGACGGCGAGAAAGAAAGTGAATAAAACACTCTTTTAAAGAAAGTGTCGAAATGAAGAATAGTAGCAAAACTAATGAGCTTTTGAACTTACTCATTTAGGATGACAATTCCTTATTTTCTCATAAATGGTTTATTTTTTGAGCAGATGATTTTGAAAGGATGGCCCCTCTTAGTTCTTTTATTTGTCCCCCTTTTTTGAAGTCACTGGTAAACAATTGTGAGTAGGTCTGTCTTGGATAAGCATTAGCAGTATGGAGTAGAATTATCAACTTGTTTTATAAAGTTTTGTGGTGGGGGATGGAAACTTACTATAAAGACTATTATAATCAATTTTAGAAATTTATTAATAGTTTTCCAAATCACCCAAAGGAAATCAAAGTGGAATTATAAGTTAGTAGCAACTGCTATTATCAACTTTTACTGGTATTGACAATAAATAACAAATCAGTCTAATCCTTTATTTTATAGAAATAAAAACCAGTTCTCCATGGTTCCCAAGATCTTATTTTACCAAACCTGACAAAAAATGTACAAGAATATTAGTTTTATTCTTACCGTGTAATCTTGTTTTGATTTCTTCTCTGAAAAGCTGCAGCTCTGTGTTCAGAGAGCTTGTAGATTCTATTTATTACCCAAAGTTTGGCAGAGAACCAAATTGCTGTAAGAAGGAGATCTGAGAGGGTGAGATTTTGGCAGGATTTTAATTGTGTGAAAAGAGCCAATAGAATTACAATCCTGTCAACATTCAAGATTCCTACTTTCTGTCTTCTCCCCATCTCCATCTTAAAATTTAATTCAACAATTATAGATTTATGGGTTTTTTTATTTCCACCTCACATCAGAATTATCTTATATGCAACCCCCACTCCCATCTCCAACTCACAATCCTCCTCTGCCCCTGCCCCAACACATTACAACTTGGCTGTCTTCAGAGTTGAACTTCACCTTCAGCACTGTTCATATGGAAATTCTTGGAGGGAGTTTTAAGGCAATAGTGAGAAGTTCCTGAATTTACCTTCTCCCATGAACACTCCAAATCTACAGCTACATAGAACCAATTCCCTCTGAAAAAGATCTGAAAATTAGATGAACTGCTCTCCACAACAAAAGGATACAACAAAGATAAAAGAACCACATCAAGATGGGGTAGGAGAGGCAGAGACACAATCTCACAAAAAATCCAACCCCTGGCATGGCAACAGACAAAGGGAAGGATGTCACCAGATGGGTGCTTTTCCCAGAGGAGTGAGGGTTAGTATCCCATATTGGGTGCCACAGCCTGTGAGATCTGCACTGGAAAGACAAGCTCCCAGAAATCTGGCTTGGAAAACCAATGCATCTGATGTCTACGGGTCCCAGAATGCAATAAGAAACTGAGATTCTCTTCTTGGAGAGCTCACATATAGTCTTACTTGCCCCAAGACCCAGTGAAAAAACAGCAGTTTGAAAAGCACCTATACTATATGAGGGGCATTCATTTGCTGATCTGGAAGCATTGGCTGGAGGGGCATGGGACGATTGAGGTGCTTCCTGGAGAGGGAGATGCTGGTGGACACAATTGTTCCACTCTACACACAGTCTGCAAGAACAGGCAGATGAGTTCAGATGCAGCACCCTCTCACCACCTTGCTGTGAGGGGGGTGGTGGTGGAGCAAGAAAGCAGGTACAGCATGTGCTGAAGTCAGAGATCATGGGCAGTAGTAGTGCTCCCCCACTTTCTGGCTGGGGTGGGCAAGAGCAAGTAGTTACCACATTCCAGCTTTCAGCTCAAAGCTGGTGTGTGTGCACAGACAAGGTACTCTCACACTGCATTACTGAAGGCTGTGGGGGCATGCAGTGAAGACATTTGCTCACTGCATTTCTGAAGCTGGTGAGTGTGGCCCACCCATATAATCTTCCTTGCCCAAACCAGTGGGTCTGCACAATCCACACAAGGGACACTCCTTGATTGCCTGGCTCTGGTGGCCAAGACTGTAACAATTGGAAAGACAGTTTTTGGCAGGCTATCAACCCCAAGGCACTGCACAGACAGCAGACTAAAACACAACTCCAGTCTTCCTTTGAAAAAGGCCTATTTATTTAGCTTGAAGCTTCAGCCTGAGGGACAGGCTTAAAGTACCCCACACATCTAGAGAGTAAGGAGTGTTTCAAGGGGAATATAAGCAGGGATATACCATCCTTGCACACTCCCTTGGCCTTGCTAGAGGTTGATGGGACTTCCCAGAAAGGAGCTTATACACTCTATCACCCAACTATCACCCAGGGTACAATTCCATATCTCCTGGTCTGGAGGCCAGCAGGGATTGTGATTGTGACTCCACAGGACTATATATTTGTATACTTTAAAAGCTGCTGCCTGAGAGTGTGGTTTCCAGTCAGCCTGAAACTAGGTGCTAAATGAGATTCTTACCTTTGAATCACTGACCGTTCTTAACATACTCTCAACAATGAGGGAATATCAAGAATAAATCAGGCTATTTAGACAATCACAAAGGTTTAAGAGAGAATCAAGAGCTAGGGTGAGATTGAATGAGAAGGTCATCATCTATACAAAGCTTCAAGACTGAGAGAGGTAGCTCTTTCACATAATACATAGAAATAAAAAGAGAGTCAAGCAAAATGAGAAAACACAAATAAGTTCCAAACAAAAGAAATAAGACAAAGCCTCAGAAATAGACCTAAATAATATGGAGATAAGTAATGGGCCTGATAGAGAATTCAAAGTAATGGTCATAAAGATGCTCACTGAACTTGGGAGAGGAAATGATGAACACAGTGAAAACTTCAACAAAGATGTAGAAAACTTAAGAAAATACCAAAAAAGAAGTCACAGAGTTTAAGACTGCAATAACTGAACTTAAAAATACACTAGTGGAGTTCAACAGCAGACTGGATGAAACAGAAATGAATCAATAAACTGGAAGATAAAGCAATGGAATTCACCCAGACAGAGCAACAGTGGAAAAAAGAAAAACAATGGCAATAACTTAAGGGACCTCTGGGATAACATCAAGTGGAATAATATTTGCATTTTAGGGGTCCAGAAGGAGAAAAGAGAAAGGGACAGAAAACTTATTTGCAGATGGTCAACTAATCTTTGACAAAGCAGGAAAGAATGTCCAATGGAAAAAAGACAGTCTCTTCAACAAATGGTGTTGGGAAAATTGGATAGCCACATGCAGAAGAATGAAACTGGACCATTTTCTTACACCACACACAAAAATAGACTCCAAATGGTTGAAAGGCCTCAATGTGAGACAGGAGTCCATCCAAATCCTAAAGGAGAACACAGGCAGCAACCTCTTCGACCTCAGCTGAAGCAAGTTCTTCCTAGAAACATCGCCAAAGGCAAGGGAAGCAAGGGCAAAAATGAACTATTGGGACTTCATCAAGATAAAAAGCTTTTGCAAAGTAAAGGAAACAGTCAACAAAACCAAAAGACAACCGACAGAATGGGAGAAGATATTTGCAAATGACATATCAGATAAAGGGCTAGTATCCAAAATCTATAAAGAACTTATCAAACTCAACACCCAAAGAACAAAGAATCCAATCAAGAAATGGGCAGAAGACATGAACAGACATTTTTCCAAAGAAGACATCCAAATGGTCAACAGACACTTGACAAAGAGCTCAATATCGCTCAGCATCAGGGAAATCCAAATCAAAACCTCAATGAGATACCACCTCACACCAGTCAGAATGGCTAAAATTAACAAGTCAGGAAATGACAGATGTTGGCGGGGATGCGGAGAAAGGGGAACCCTCCTACACTTTTGGTGGGAATGCAAGCTGGTGCAGCCACTCTGGAAAACAGTATGGAGGTTCCTCAAAAAGTTGAAAATAGAGCTACCATATGATCCAGCAATTGCACTCCTGGGTATTTACCCCAGAGATACAAAAGTAGGGATCCGAAAGGATATGTGCACTCCGATGTTTCTAGCAGCACTGTCCACAATAGCCAAACTGTGGAAAGAGCCAAGATGTCCATCGACAGATGAATGGATAAAGAAGATGTGGTATATATATACAATGGAATATTATGCAGCCATCAAAAGGAATGAGATCTTGCCATTTGCAACGACGTGTATGGAACTGCAGGGTATTATGCTGAATGAAATAAGTCAAACAGAGAAAGACATGTATCATATGACCTTACTGATATGAGGAATTCTTAATTCAGGAAAGAAACAGGGTTGCTGGAGTGGGGGGTGGGGTAGGAGGGATGGGGTGTTTGGGTGATAGACATTGGGGAGGGTATGTGCTCTGGTAAGCGCTGTGAATTGTGCAAGAGTGTTGAATCACAGATCTGTACCTCTGAAACAAATATTGCAATATATGTTAAGAAAAAAAAAGAAGAAGAAGAAGATAGCAGGAGGGGAAGAATGAAGGGGGGGAATCGGAGGGGTAGATGAACCATGAGAGATGATGGACTCTGGAAAACAAACTGAGGGTTCTAGAGGGGAGGGGGTGGGAGGATGGGTTAACCTGGTGATGGGTATTGAGGAGGGCACGTTCTGCATGGAGCACTGGGTGTTATGCACAAGCAATGAATCATGGAACACTACATCTAAAACTAATGATGTAATGTATGGGGATTAGCATAACAATAAAAAATAATAATAATAAAAAAACTTTTTTGCAGAACTAATGGATGAAAACTTCCCTAACCTAGGAAAGGAAACAGACATCCAAATCCAGGAAGCCCAGAGACTTCTAGATATAATGAACCTAAAGAAATCCATAGCAAGACACATTATAATTAAAATGTCAAAAATTAAAGATAAAGAATCTAAAAACAGCAAGGTAAAAACCAAATTGTTACATCCTAGGGAAACCCCATAAGGCTATCAGCAGGTTTCTTAACAAAAACTTTGCAAGCCAAAAGGGAGTTGAAAGAGACATTCAAAGCCCTGAAGGGAATAACTTCAGACCAAGAATACTCTGTCTAGGAAGGTTATCATTCAGATTGAAAGAGAGATAAAGAGCTTTCTAGACAAGCAGAAGCTAAGGCATTCATCACTACTAAACTGGCCATACAAGATATATTAAAGAGATTTCTTTAAGCTGAAAAGAAATAGCACTAATAATAAGAAATACAAAAGTAAAAATCTCACTGGAAAAGGTAAATATATAAAGGCAGAGGATTAATCACTTATGAAGCTATTAAGAAGTTTGAAGACAAAAGTAGTAAAATCAACTAAAACTATAATAATTAAGGGATATATAAAAAGATGTAAGAAATGACATCAAAAACATAAAAGGGGAGAGTAAAAATGTAGTTTTGGAATGTGTTCAAGAAGATAAAGAAAATTGGCAGGCCTTTAGCTAGACTTCCCAAGAAAAAAGAGAAAGAGCTCAAATAAATAAACCCAGAAATAAAGTTACAACTGATACCACAGGAATCCAAAGGATCATAGAAGACTATTACAAACAATTATATACCAATAAATTGGACAACCAGGAAGAAATCGACAAATGCCTAAAAATTTATAGTCTTCCAACACTGAATTGTGAAGAAATAGAAAATCTGAATAAACCTATTACTATTAAGGAGATTGAATCAGTAATCCAAATCCTACCAAAAACAAACAAACAAACAAAAACAATCCAGGAACAGATGGCTTCACTGGTGAATTCTACCAAACATTCAAAGAATATTTAACATTTGTCTTTCTCAAACTCTTTTAAAAAATTTGAGAGGA